TTTTTTTATCTTTCATTACTTATATCTTTCTCATTTTAATTATTTTGGATTTTTTTTACAAATTAATTTAATTTATTTGTATTTAATTATTTTTGTCCTCTTGTAAATTAATTTTATTTATTTTAATTCAACTATCTTCTTTTTTATCTTTCATTACTTATATTATCTTTCTCATTCTAATTATTTTGGATTTTTTTTACAAATTAATTTAATTTATTTGTATTTAATTATTTTTGTCCTCTTGTAAATTACTTTTATTTATTTTAATCCAACTATCTTTTTTTTTATCTTTCATTACTTATTTCTTTCTCATTCAAATTATTATTTTGGATTTTTTTTACTAATTAATTTAATTTATTTGTATTTAATTATCTTTGTCTTCTTGAAAATTACTTTTATTTATTTTAATCCAAATATCCTTTTTTTTTATCTTTCATTACTTATTTCTTTCTCATTCAAATTATTATTTTTTTTTTTTTACTAATTAATTTAATTTATTTTAATTTCATTATTTTTGTCCTCTTGAAAATTACTTTTATTGATTTTAATTCAACTATCTTTTTTTTATCTTTCATTACTTATATCTTTCTTATTTTAATTATTTTGGATTTTTTTTACAAATTAATTTAATTTATTTGTATTTAATTATCTTTGTCCTCTTGAAAATTACTTTTATTGATTTTTATCTAATTATTTTGTTTGTTTCCTTTTTTTTTTTTTTAAATTACTTTTATTTATTTTAATTCACCTATTTTTGTCTACTTAAAAATTACCTTTACGTTATTTAATTAATTTACAATATTATTACACAATACAATTTCTAATATTAATTAAATAATATTAATTATAATGAATATTAATAAAATTAAATATTTATTTATATTATAGTATTTTTTTCTTACTTTTTATTTTTTTTTATTTCTCTCTCTCTCTCTCTCTCTCTCTCTCTCTCTTTCTCTTTTCATTGGTTAACCTTACAAGGTGTTCTTTTTTTTGGCAATACGTCAATCGTTATTTATTCTTCTCTTGGAAGATATACGAGGAGTCAGGTACGCTGTATAGGCAGGCATCTATAACACAGTTGGTCTGAAGTTGGGAAAGGGAAAGGGAAAAGGAAAGGGAAAGGGAAAGGAAAAAGGTTAAAAAAAAAAAAAGGGTACCTGATGGAAAAGTGAGTCAGCAGCGTAGACAATCGAAATTCGATCGTGCGTAGTATCGTCAAATCGAGATTCCACAAAAATTCTCTTTTCTACGATAGTGTTTCTTTCTCTCCATCCACCACCATGGGATTCCCATACATGGCAGATATGAGAGAGAAACATGGACAAACTATATGACGGATAAAGATAAAAACAAAAATGTACAAATGGAAAAAGACAGAAAAAAGGGAACGAATAAAAGATAGACCAAAAAGATAAAAGATGAAAGATAAAGATATATATATATATACTGGACAGAAAAAAAGGACATAGAATTAAAAGATAAAAAAAAAAAAAAATAAAACAGATTTGAAAAATGATCAAAAATAAAAATTCCAAAAATAAAGAAAGAGAGAGAGGGAGAATGAAACTGGTTTAGAAAAATAATTTGATTAAAAAACAAAACAAAAATAACAACAGAGATAGATAGATAATAGTTGGATTAAAATAAAAAAAATATATCTTTATAAACTATCCTATCTTTCAAGTTGGATGAAACTGCACACAGTGTGAAAAATTTGATTAAAATTGGTTCAGTAGTTTAGAAGTTCATTGCGGACAAACAACGTGACACGTAATTTATATATATTTAAGAAAGATTTGAATAAGTTTTTGAATAAGATAATTTGATTAAGTTTTCTTTTTCTTCTATCATTTGTTGTTATTAAATTGATTCTTTTTTCTGATGATTTTCAGATGCAACATTTATACGATATTACAATTGATCAGTTGTGGATTTTTTTTTATGACGTTAATAGTCTACGCTTGTCTACCAGTCCTTCAAAATCTTCATGGGAAAACTTTAATGTGTCATGTAGCCCATATCTTTTGTGCTTATTTTTCTCTGGCTATTATCAATTTGGTAACACCCGAAAGGAACGCTGATAAATCTACAGCTACTATATTGTGCAAATTTTTAGGTACGTTTACAACCCTATTCTTACTTGCTTGCAAAAAGTGTAGTTCAATATTTTATAGATTAATACAATCAATACAAATTAATATAATTAATAATCAATTGTATAAAATGATGTGTTATTTTGTTTATTTTCATTCAATTCAAATTTATTTGATTATAATGATAGTTTTAAAAAAGGTTTTGTAGTAGAGAAACGGAATGAATTTATTTTGTAAATTTAGAAAAAAAAAATAGATTAATTCAATTAAGAAATGCTTGCAAGAAATGCAGTTTCAGATTTTATAGAATAAAAAAAAAACAAAAAACAAATCAATATAATTGTGACCTGTTATTTCATTAATTTTCATGTTAAATTATTTGATTACTAAGATAGTTTTTTTAAATAAAATCTAATCTCTATCTAATTTATTTTGTAAATTTAGAAAAAATATTTCCCAAACTAAAGTTAGAAAATAGAATGAGACCAAGATGAATTTTTGTTATTTGATCAAATATTAATTTTTTTTTGTTGCATCTTGAGTCCACAGAAAGGAATTTATTTATTTTATAAATTTAGAAAAAATAATAAAAAGGAATAAAAAAGAAAAAAAGAGAAAGACTTGTGATCCAAATATTTCTTAAATTAAACTAAAGTAACAAAGTAGAATAACTAAGATTTTATTTTTTATTTTTATTTGATCAAAAGAATTAATTCTTTTTTTGTTGTTGCATCTTGAGTCCACAGAAAGGGATTTATTTATTTTATAAATTTAGAAAAAATAATAAAAAGGAATCAAAAAGAAAAAAAAAAAAAAGAAAGACTTGTGATCCAAATATTTCTTAAATTAAACTAAAGTAACAAAGTAGAATAACGAAGATTTTATTTTTTACTTTTATTAGATTAAATGTTGATTTTTGTTTGTTATTGTTCAACAAACAAACAAGCAAACAAGCAAGTAAGCTAGCTGACTATTTATCTTTGCTGGGTGTGCAACATAGAATTTAAAGATTTTCTTTATATTCTTTCTCAATAACCTTTTCAAACTAATACCTTCTACTTTTGGTTTTTACAGGTTACACTATGCTATTCTCCTTTCTTTCAGCCTTTTCTTGGCTCAACGTCATGTGCTTCGACATATGGTGGACTTTTGGGTAAGAAATTGCTTTCGATAAGTCACTCTTCTTCTTTTTCTTTTTCTTTTTATTCTTATTCTTTTCACTGATATTTTAAATCGATAAGGATTATATTAGATGCCTGTATTTCTCTCTCTTTCTCTCTCTTTCTCTCTCTCTCTCTTTCTCTCTCTCTCTCTCTCTCTTAAATTTTTCCTTCAATTTTATTTTACTTTTCTTCTCATTTATTTTTCTTTGCCAGTTTAGAAAAATTATTTCAAATAATTTTCATATAATATTTTTACAAAATTAATTTAATATTTATAAATATATATATTTCTTTTTTATTTTACTATATTTTTCTTTTCCTATTTTATTTTATTTTTATTTTACTTTCTCTCTTAAATCTTACATTCACTTTTATTAGATTTGATTTGATTTTTTTTTCACCCATTTATTTATTTTTGCCTCTTTAGAAAATGTTATTTAAAATAATTTTAATTTAATATAATATTTTTATATATTTATTTTTCTTCTTTTATTTTTAATAAATTTAATATATATATGTATTTTTATAATTTGAACATAAAAAGATATCTGGAAACATAGTAAATGTAACATTCGCGTTAATTTTCTGATGTTCACCGAGACTCACCTTAATTTCTACGCTAACGAACGCGACTCTGATAACATGTTTCCTCCACTATATATATATGTATATATATTTTACATAGGTATATATAATTATACATACATTTATCTAGACTATGTTTGGATTTCATTTTAAGTCTCTCTACTTTATGGTTTATACTATTTTTGAAAAAAAAAAAAAAAAAAAAAAAAAAAACATGAACTATACCTAGAAAACTTTTTTTTAGCAAAGATATTTGTAATATATATATATATATACACATTAAATAATATTATATATTTAATAATAATAATATTATAAAATTATTTATATTTTATATATAAATTTTATATAAAATATAAAATATAAAATATCTAATAATAATAATATTATTATTTATTAAAATATGATAAAAATGTGAAATATTATATATGTTAAAACCGTATTTATTCTTTACATTACTTCACTATATGAATACGTTTATGATTTGGTAAATTACGTGGTCAGTTTCTAGCGATTTCAATTAATTAATTTCTCTTTCTCTCTCTCTCTCTCTCTCCTCTGTCTGTCTGTCTGTCTGTTTCTCTTCACATTCGTCTCGTTTAAAGTACGTAACTAAATTATTCTACGAGTTTATGGAAATTTGTGAAATTAACACATAATTATCGTGCATACCACGTTTATACTGATCCATTATGAAAGTTCAATTACAAAAGAGTAAATGTCTAAATAAATGAATTGTCTTATAATTCTAACAATTTATCCATAAATTTAATCTTTTTCATTATATTCCTTTATTATCTTATCTCCTCTCATTTGTCTATTATTTGTCAAATTTACAAATTTATATGTAATATGTTATACACAATTGACAAAATATTATAATATTTGTATATTATATAGAAATTAATTATACGAACGGGGATGGAATTTAATTCTATAAATATTTTCAAAAAAAAAAAAAAATAAAAATTAAAAAAAAAAAGCAAATTATAGTAT